CGCCCTTACCTTAGTTGTGCCTTGTAGATCATTAATACAATCAGGGATCTCAATAACAGTGTAATCTGAAATCAGTTTAGCTGAAACCAAATCCTGCAGCATCAGACCTTTAAGAGAAGCAGAGAAGGTCATGTGTGCTTGCTCTGGGTCAGCATGCATGCTAAGGCATCTCATGGCACTGCCCCCCGCCCTATGGTGGGCAGTCAACATGTGTGTTCCTGGCCCAAGACCCCGCACTGTGGTGTCCCCACCCATCACTAAACAGCACTGTGCACAAACTAGACTTTTGTCACAAACCATCCTCCACTTCCTTCTCAGCGGTGTTGCCTCCCGAGCTGGGCACGAGAACTGCCAGCGGCAGGGCAGGCTGAAAGGGCTTGGCCTGCAAGAGCTGTTTGAGCTGCAGCAAGGCTGACAGCCAGTATACGTCCTCCTCCGCCACGTCCTCACTCTTCACTTTGGGGGGCAGTAGCAGCACCAGTCCACTGGCTCCTAGCAGGTCCTTCTGCATCTCCACTGTATCAAGGGCACCGTCACTGAGGGCACCATGGGCCACCTGCAATAGCACCAACCATCAGGGTGGACACATGGCACACAGGGCAGCAGCAAACTGCTCCACAGCAAGTGCAGCTGGACTGCCCTCCAAGGACACAGCAGGGATGGCCCTCCCTCCAGAAGCCATGAATCAGTGCTAGAAACAACTAGGTGAACACATAACCTAGCCCCCAGCTACAAGTTCCGTTTGACCACAGCACAATGATCATTTTTCTTTTTTTTGAGAAAAGAAAACCCTAGACTGCTGTGACATCACAGCTCACAGCAACCTCAGACTCCTGGGCTTAAAACATCCTCCTGCCTCAGACTCCTGAGCAGCAGGGGCTACAAGCACCCACCACAACACCCGGTAGAGATAGAGTATCTTGCTCAGGCTGGTCTTGAACACCTGACTCAACGGATACACCTGCCTCGGCCTCCCAGAGTGCTGGGATTACATAAGGAAAAGTTGGCCCCAATTTCCTCAGAAAGATAAAGAGGATGAATCAAAAAATAGTATTAAGATGCTATGAAAGAGTCAAAGTAAGGATAAAGATGAGGAAATGAGGAATAAAAATTCCACAGCACTTCAAAAACTTGAGGTCAAGGAAATCGTCCAGAATGCAGTTTGCAGCGATAAGACTGAAAACAAGATACAAGAAATGAGCTCAGAGGATTGACTGATGAGGTCCAACATTTGTCTAGTGGATGTTTGTGAGAGAACAGAACCAAGAGAAGAAAACAGGTGTTGTAGGGACACAAAAATGTCCCAGAAGGGAAACTAGAGCCCCCAGCCTGAAAGACCCACCAAACCCAGACCCTGGTGTGCAGGGCACTAGCACAGAGTCCCATAGTGAGTGTGGAGAACCTCCTGAGAGAAACATAAGGCCACACAGAAGGAATAGATGTCCCTGTCTCAGAGGAAGGGAAACTAGAGCCCCCAGCCTGAAAGACCCACCACCAAACCCAGCCCCCAGTGTGCAGGGCACCAGCACAGAGCCCCGTAGTAAGTGTCGGGGTTCTTGACACTATTTCCTTGACTTTAGTTTTTGAACGTGCTATGACACAGAAGATACTAGGTGCCAAGAGAGCAAAACTAGAAGGAAAATAATTTTTTACCCATAGTTTTACAAAGCTAGCTAAACTATAAAGGTAATGTGAGAATAAAATAAATTCATTTTCAGAAAAAAAAGAACTAATTAAGCTCCCCTACCAGGCACCTTTCCTTGGGATGCAACTGAAAAACACAGACTATCAAACAAGGGACTACAGAAAGGAGAAATGCTGCTGGTCAGGCTGGGGCAACACTGGGCAGAGTGTGGCATCTGTCAGGCCATGGTCCACTCACTCTGCAGGCACAAACTCAAGCATGTCACCAAGGCCTGCTGAGAATGGCACCACGAGAAGCTATTGACTGTGGGCAACTTATTTTAGCATCTTAGCAGGGGCACCCTAAACAGGTTGCACAAGGTCACAGAGCAGCAGAAGAGCAAAGACCCTACTCAAACCATGGCACTAAGGCTCATCTATGTGGATAGAGACCCCAAGGCCAGCCACAGCCTGAGATAAGAGAGTGGCATCTGCTGGGGGGCTCAGGAGAGTGGAGATGTGGATGGATCAGGTGAGGGAACAGAACATCTGGGAAACTAAGATAGACAAAATCCATCTGGTAAAAATTAAAGAGATACACAGAAAATTTTTTAAGTGAGAAAATAAGCCAATTATTTCTTATGAAAAAATAAAGAAATGTGGTCACAGAAAGAACACTGCTAGTCTTGAGGTGACAGCAGGTGCAGAGCCATCAGAATATAGCTGGGGCATGGCAGCTTACACCAGGAATCCTAGCTACTTGGGAGGCTGAGGCAGTAAGACTGCTTGAGCCCAGGAGTCTGAAGCTGCAGTGAGCCAGCCAGGCAACAGAGCGAGACCCTGTCTCTAAACAACTCTACTTCTCCATTCACTGAGGTGACAGAGGGACGGTGACAGTGCAGCCACCATGGGAGATAGGAAGACTGCTGGAGGGCTCCTCACTGGGTATGCTGAGCTGTGCAGCTGCCCTGTACCCCATGGTCTCACCTCCCAGGGTTTGTTCTGCCCCTGCCCACTGGGCCTAGTGACCTCCTTCTGAGAGAGAATGGGACAACACGGACAGCTCACGAAGAGCCTCTGATTGCCCTGGGCTCACCACTTCTTGCACACACAAACAACACTGCCCTGTGGAGGCTACACAGCAGGACCTGTGGAAGCTTTGGCCACAGCCTGCAAGGCAGAGAGTCCTGACACCCAGGAGAGCAAGCTTGGAAGTGTACCTTCCTCAGTCAGGCCCTCAAGTGAGACTATGCCCCACCAGCATTTGGTTTCCACCTGTGGGAGATGCTGCACCAGAGAACCCCACAATGACAGCTGGACACCTGACCCACAGAAACCAGGACATGACAAATTATTATTATTTAGAGCTGCTGCATTGGGGGTGATGTGCTATGTAACAGCAAGTGACTGACACTTCTTTAATGGGATATTGGCAGAGAACAAAGGATAGCTTGGCGGAGAAGCAGCTGTGATCATGTGTGTGATATGGAAACACTATAGAAATCAGACCCTTATAAATCATGTGAGGTTGCTATTTGACCTTTTAACTATACACAAATGTTACTTTTATTACAAATCTTAAAAGTAAAGGCAAGAGGAACAACTAAGTTACTTCCAGTAGGTAAAGTGTGAAGACTAAGCACCAAGCAGGCACTGCTTCCCCAAACTCAGGGCAGGCAACTCATCTCATCCTTAGACTCCCATTATATTTTGCGTTTTTAAAGTTTTGTATGTGTACTGCTTTCAGGAAGTATGCTACATAGTATTAAAAAATGAAAAAAACAAAACCTCATAAATGGACTAAGATTTGAAAAAGTACTGAGGACAAAGGGAACACAATTGGACTACCATACACAGAGGACCAGGGTATGCCTTGAAGGTGACCACTGGGAGGAGGAGGAGCCCAGGACAGAGGCCATTAGGGCAAAGACCTGATCACTGGCCTGCTCCAGGCAGGTGCCCATCCTCTGGGGCACTATGGAAGCAAGGTCAAGTCCACACCCGAGTTCACAGAGCTAGCCTGCACACAGCCACAGACACCAGAGGTGCTCAGTGTTGATGCCCATGCTCCCTGCCCTGCACTAGTATCTTCCAAGTAAGTGGAGAAGGACATACCCGGCCTCCCTTCTGAACACAGAGGTCAAAACCTATACTCACTGACACAGGTTTGCATCTAATGAGGAAATGGACTCCTACTTATGCCTAGTGCTATGGAAATTATTTCTATCCTATTGCTCCAGTGCACCACCAAGGTCTGATCTTTCACATGTGACTGCCTCCTGCGGGTACGTGTTATCATGTGGTGCACAGAATTAGTCACCACTACAGATACTGGAACGCTGGCAGCTTGTTAACAAGTCATGGTGGAAAAACTTTAAAAATTTCAATCTCCGGCTCGGCGCCTATAGC